GTGTCGAGGCAGCACGTCCTATGGCACCGCTGCCATCGGTGCCCTGCCGCCCTCACTCCAGCTCCCGGCTAGTGGAGCTGTCAACTTTCCCTCATTTTTCCCCCTGCCTTTTCAAAATACACCCAAATTCCCCATTTCCCATGTCAGCTCCAGGCTTTCGGTAGCAGCCACGTATTATTTCAACTCTTTAGCAAGGACCTGGGGACGGATCCTGCTACTACGGCACTGGTGTAAATCCAGATTTATGCTCCCGGCTCTGCCAGAGCCCCGATTCCAGCCTCCGCTACACTGACATCAACCCCGGTGTCCCACCGAATGCGAAGGAAATGGGGCCAAATCCTGATTTCAGCTTCACTGGGGTAAACCAGGAGGGAAGCGCTGAGCTCGGTGCAGCCCCAGACCCCGTGAGCGCGCGGCGCTTCCCCACTCACCTACAGCATCCGCGTCCCGCGGGTGCCTGCGGCACTGCCCGGCCCTGGCGAGACTCTCCCTGCCGCGGTCCCGAGCTCAGAGGCGGTGCGTGTGGCTCAGCCGGGGCAGCTCTGCTCCGTGCCGTGCACCCCGGCTTGGAGGAGCTTCATGGGTCTGCTCCCCTCCCGTTGCCCGTCCTGGCACCGCGGGGGCTCCCGCAGCCTCAGCGTCGCCTGTCCTGGCGGGGGAACGTCTCCGTCCCCGTCCTGGCCCTGGGGGCTCGGCTCGGCGGCCCCGTTGTCCGAACGCAGCCGCTTGGCAAGCGCTCTGTGGTCTGGATGTGGGAGAAGTCAAAAAAATGTTTCTTATTACTGCCTCTTCCTGCCTGGCTTCTCTCCACCACTCCCAGCTAATAAAGCATTTCCTATTGCTGAGCACACATCCACGGCCAGCCTCCCTTCCTCCCGCACGCCGGGCCCCAGCTCCATCCTGGTTGCTCTCCCTCAGCCTGTTCCTCCCGCCCCTGTCCTTCGCCGGGGTTCGTTCCCTCCACGGTTTCCCGGCTTTCAAGGCAAACCCAAGCCCTTGGGCCACAGCTGGCAGGGGGACATCCATCATGTCTCCTTCCTCGAGCGCCTAAAGGCCTTTGGCAGAAAAGCAGCCGGTTGCTTTGACGGTGCCGGGGGTGGGAATGGTCCGGAAAGATGCTGCGGGAATGACCTTGATGTGCTTGGCCATCCCTCCCGCTCCAGCATCCAACCCTCATGGGGATGGGAGCATCACGGCAGGGCCAAGGGTCTCCCTGGTTATTTGGTGCTGGCCACACCACTTTCGGGGTGCTGCGCTGGAGGGCAGGGGAGGTTTTCTCCCCCGGGGTGTAACACGGCATTGGGGGGTGCTGTCGAACGGTCACCCCATCAGGGATGCTCTGCCCCGACTGCGGGCGTGGAGCAGAGCTGGGGTGGGCCAAGGGGGTTTGCTCGGTGCATCCTGCCGGCACATCCCCGCCGTCCCCCACTGCGGCCCTTGAGATGCCGCGGCAGCAGGCGCTGGGACACGGGCAGCGGGGCTGTTCCCACGGGGGGAGGCTGGGGGCTTCCCGCTCCCCCAGGACACTTGGGGCCGCCGGGGCTGCGGGCAGCGGAGGGGCCGCTTCCCCTTTTGCCGCTTCGGGGACGTTTTCTTTCAGCCACCCCATTCTCAGCAGCTTCGCGCTCCTCCCGTCCCCCTCCTCTCCCTCCAGCGCCTTTCCAAGCCCCGTCCCTGCCTTTCACCCGGCTGCTGCCCCCCGGCACGGTGACCCGCTCCCGCGGGCGGGCGGGGGCAGCTGCCAGCAGGCAGCGTGCGGGCTGGCATTGCAGCCTCTTTCCTAATGAAGTCATGGGGCCTGATTTACCTCGCCGTCCCCCATTGCATCACCAACCCCAATTGCATCATGAACCCAAGTGGCACCCGGAGCCTCCCCCTGCCAAGGGGAGCGGAGCGCGGCTGCGAAGCTTTGAGGTCTTGCCGGCCGCCTCTCCCCCGTTATCGCCCATGATCTAGGAAGTTTAAACAAACAAAAGCACAAAACCAGGATAAAACACGAGGGACCTTCACGCGTGACCTTGCCCGCGCCAGGGCTGGGAGGTTTGCGGAGCCGGCGCAGGGGAAACGGGCAGTTTCCATCAGATAGGAGCCGCCCAGGAGGAAGCCAGTGCCTGCAGACGCCTTATCACCGTGACCATCTTTGCTCCGGCGCGCAGGTCTCGGTGATCTGACTGGCCATCGGCCACTCCCAGGGTTATTCCTGGATGGCTCCTGTGTCCCCGCTGCCTTCCACGGGCGCAGGCACACGGCGGGCACTGGCACCCCACTTTTACGGCTGCAGGCAGGAGTTGCCTCGGGAAGCTGAGCGCGCAGGCTCTCCAGCAAGGGCTGGTGCTGGCTGCTTCTGTCCCTGAGCTTTCATCTTCCAAATGGGGCAGCTCCACATTTTTAACAATCATCATCACTGGGGGGGATAAATACTTGCTTAAAAACTTCTAAAAGTTACTAAGTCCTAATCCCCGGCGACTCAAAGGGCAGGGATGGGTGGGAGCCCCAGGCCGGGCTGCGGCTCTGGCACTGCTGCTGTGGGAAGGCAAATTCATCCGGAGCTGGGACTGATCGTAGAGGTACGTTAATGAACATTCCAAACTCACCCCAGGCTCTCTTAGCCACAGGCAGGGCGATCCCTGCCCCGCTCCACACTCGCGCTGGTGCCAGCCCCCGTCTGGGGCAGACGGGGTGAATCAGCAGGGAAAAAAAAAAAAAAAGAAAAAAAGAAAAAAAGAAAAAAAGAAAAAAAGAAAAAAAGAAAAAAAGA